TCGACGGAGACAGGATTCGAACCTGCGAGGCCGAAGCCATATGATTTCTAGTCATACCCATTAACCACTCTGGCACTCCGCCAATCAGATGATTGATGAATGGGGGTGCACTATTATCCAACATGCGTGTATTGCAATTGTACGGAGTGCGGTGCAAAATCATTGCAATTCAATTCGCTATAGGGTAAGGGATCTGAATGAGTTCAGATTTACATCCATCGCATGCTGTGCTTTTGTCGCGTCGCTTTGAATGACTGAGCCGATAAAGAGGGCTAGAGGGATGAATAGGCCTTCTCCATGATGTTAAATCGCACATTAGAGTCTAGCGAGAGCGCCAGAAGCCGAGATAAATCTTAGTTACCAACACGGTGGAAGATGGCTAATTGTGGCTTACAACAAACTCATACACCTATCGAACTTCATAGCTACTCTAGCTTTCAAACAACTTCCATTCACTCATGTCTACCTGTTCTAATGGAATAATAAAAATGACCAAAAGAGCTTAAATGCTTTACGTCATTTGAAAGAAAATGGAACTAACAAAATCATGATTTAGCAGTCAAAGCTCCAGGCAGCCTGAAACCACATGTCATCTCCAGCCTGCGTCTAACCCCACCACAGGTTTGGAGGCTCGGTTCAAGCTGCTTCACCCCACCACTCCGCATCGTCCCTGAATTGCGCAAAAGCACAATCACGCGACGCCCCAGGACTTGAAGCTATCTACAACACAATGCCCGCCGAGGAATCCAAGCCGGTCGACCCGGCCGTCAACGAAGTCGACGCCGACATCAAGGGCAAGCAAGCCGCGGCCGAATCCGACGCCGAGGAGGAAGATGACGAGCCCACGGCCGGTGACGCCTCTGCGGCTGGCACTGCTCCGGCCAAGAAGAAGAAGAAGTCCAAGCGGAAGAAGGCCAAGGAGGTGCTGACTGGCAAGTCTGGCGACGCCGAGGCAGACCTGAAAAAGGCCATTGGAGGGCTCACGCCGCAGCAGCTCCAGGAGCTCATGGCGCTTAACCCAGCTCTGGCGGGCGAGCTGTCGCAGGCCTCGGGCAGCGCAAACCCTTCGCCGGACCAGATCGCCGAGCTGCTCAAGAAGATGAACCTGCAGGACATCATGACGGGTCTGGCGGCCGCGGGCAAGAACGTCAAGGACATGGCCTCGTACAAGTTCTGGCAGACGCAGCCGGTGCCCAAGTTTGGCGAGGACGAGAAGACGGTCGAGGAGGGGCCTCTGAAGATCCAGACGGTCGACGAGATCTCCAAGGAGCCGGCGCCTTTGGTGGCTGGATTCGAGTGGGTAGAGATGGATCTGACGAATGACGAGGAGATCAAGGAGATTTATGAGCTGCTCAACGGACACTACGTTGAGGACGACGAGGCCATGTTCCGATTCAACTACGGACCTGGCATCCTGAAATGGTGAGCTGGCCTGAATCTGGCACCTCCTCCACCACACCCTTACTGAGCTGGAGGACAAGATCATGTACTAACATCATCTGTGTGATATCCAGGGCCATGATGCCTCCTGGCTGGGCCAAGCACTACCACGTTGGCGTCCGCGCCACCCAGTCCCGCAAGCTCGTCGCCTTCATCTCTGCCATCCCCGTGCGCGTGCGAGTCCGTAACAAGGTCATCACCTGCTCCGAAGTCAACTTCCTCTGCGTCCACAAGAAGCTTCGCGGCAAGCGTCTGGCCCCCGTTCTCATCAAGGAAATCACCCGTATCAGCAACCTGCACGAGATCTGGCAGGGTCTGTACACGGCCGGCATCGTCCTCCCCAGGCCCGTCAGCACGTGCCGCTACTACCACCGCTCGCTCAACTGGCAGAAGCTGTACGAGTGCAACTTTGTCCACCTGCCCCATGGAAGCAAGCCTCAGTACCAGATCCGGAAGTATGCGGTCCCGGACCATACCTCTACCAAGGGTCTGCGTGAGATGAAGCCTGCGGATATCGAAGCCGTTGTCAACTTGATGGATCGGTACATGAAACGGTTCGACATTGCGCCTGAGATGTCCACGGAGGAAGCAACTCATTGGTTCTGTCCAACGGTTGCCCCTGGACAGGACCAATACATCTGGTCCTATGTTGTCGAGGTAAGAAAAAATAAAAAGCATTCCATACTATCGAAATTAGCCCATCCTTTTACTAACGGTTTATTTCTTCTTCTTCACTGCAGGATAACGAGAAAAACATCACCGACTTCTTCTCCTTCTACTGCATCGAGTCATCCGCCATCAACAACCCCAAACACGACGTCATTCGCGTCGCCTACCTCTTCTACTACGCCACCGACACGGCCCTCAAGGAGCCCTTTGACAAGGCCGCCCTCAAGTCCCGCCTCAACGACCTCATACACGACGCCCTCATCCTCGCCAAGCAGGCCCAATTCGACGTCTTCAACGCCCTGTCCCTCATGGACAACGGCCTCTTCCTCGAGCAGCAGAAGTTTGGCGCCGGCGACGGGCAGCTGCACTACTACCTGTTCAACTACAGGGCCAACCCCATAGCCGGAGGCGTCGACAAGAAGAACCAGTTGGACGAGAATGCCCTTAGTGGCGTCGGATTGGTCTTGCCATAGAAGGAGGTTTGTTTTGTACACGGGAAGAACCATAGCATCAAATATAGGAAGAGAAGAAATAGTAGATAGGTTCTAAGTGGTTAGCTGTTGATGCAAATTTATAACCCAAATGACGGTTGATATTCAATTCACAACAAATCCGCATGCTCTCTGCATATGCCCCTGTATGTGCCGTTCAAATCTATCACAGTTTCCCCCAAGCCGTAAATCTCTCCTCCAACAGGGCGTTGAGCCACTCTGCTCTATCCATAATTGGTGCATGTCCCATTCCTTCAACTATCAGCCCCATGCCTGGCTCAATGTGCTTGATCAGCTTCTCTCCATTCGGCACTGTAATCATATTATCTACCGTCCCATGCATGACCAGGATGCGCTCCCTCCCCACGCGATCCGCCATCGTTTTCAGTTGCTGCGGCGTTTTGCGGTGCCCTGCTGCCGCAATCAGCTGGCATAGGAAGCCCTGCTGCGTGAACCAGCTTGCGTGACGCTTCTTGAAGAGCTCCTGCGCCTGAAACCGCTGGAAATTGTTGTCAAAGGTGCGGTACTCTCCATCAGGCGTGCCAGGCGCAGGGCCGCACCGAGACGTCGTCTTTGGCGAGGGCAGCGACGCGGCATCGTCCGGGGCGGCGAGCCATTCCTCGGGGAAGAGTTTCCGGCCAGTGTCAAAGATGCTCTGGTCCTCCGACTTGGGGATCACGAAGCTCAGGCGCTGCCACATGGCGTCGGACCAGGACTTTGCCGGCCCGCTCTCGAACTGCGCCGTGGTGCCCATCAAGGTCAGGGAGCGCAGGCGGGTGGGAATCGCATAGGCGACCTCCTGGGCGATCATGCCACCAAGGGAAAGACCGACGAGATGGAAATCGCGCTCGGCGGTCCAGCCAACGTGGTCGAGCACCTCGACGATGTCGGCGGCCATGCCGCTGGTGGTGTAGCGCGCAATGGGCTTGTCGCTGTCGCCCATGCCTCGGTTGTCCAGGATGAGGACGGAATACTCATTTGAGCGGTCGTGGCCAAAGTATTTCGTCTGGCGCTGCCACGACGTCTTTATACCGGCCAAGCCCATGATGAACTAGAAGCAGCCAAAGATTGTCAGCTGAAGGAAAGAAAAGAGCTCGCATTTACTCCGTAGTATACAAGGAGATTCAACGCTTAAAAACAGCCATGGGCAGACCAAAGAACCAGCAAAAAACATACCAAAACTTTAGTTGGTCCATCTCCATGAATCTCCCAAGCAATCTTCACAGGACCGCCTCGCCCTTTGGCAACCTCAACCGTGCCTTGCTGATGAGGCTCCAGAGCCCAGATCACCGAAGCAAAAGCAGGATGGCTAATCGTCTCTTCGGCAGATGGTGGTGTGAACGTCCTACAAATATCCAGCGTCACGTCAGCCTCCCATCTGATGAATGGCGATGAGAAACAAGGCGAAAGGCGAGACACAACTGCCAGCGAGTGAGACACAAGACGTGGGTCGCGCGAAGTGTCACCAACAACGGGCGTTACACTCGCCTCTGGCAGCTGCTGAGATGGATTGCATTGGATGGAGGGGACTTACATGGTATCTCGTTGTTTGTTGAAAACTTCAGTCTTAGAAGCAAACCAAATCAGAGAATTGGGACGTTGGAGCGAGAACAAGCACTTGGCGTCTAGTCTGACAGCTCTCAACTAGTGTGCAGCAGATATAGCGCTCTATATGCGTCTACGAGATGAAATGCCAGGATATCATGCAAACTGAAACATCCAATCCAAGTCTTTCAAGGCACAGTGCTTTTTACCTCGGGATATGTAAATTGGTATCAATGCGGGAGGTGGTGGCATCTCGTGTTGAGGTAGTTGGAAGTCAAAACTGCTGACATCATCATCGATACGTACCTACCGTCGTCATTCGTGTTGAGCCTCGGCATGCGTGACAGCATCTGATTGATTTACTCATTTTTCAACAATGGCTTCTCTATGCTTTAATGCTTCAATACATAATATCTTACATCATCTTGACTATGCATTTGTGTCTTTTCATCCCTCATATCATCAAAAAGAGGCAATTCATGTCTCGCCGGATGCCAATGGCCTCTCTAGCTAGATGGGCTATACTAGAGATCTAGTCCAGTTGCTTCTAAGCTGAGAAAATAGCCCCCATCTCAACCCCCTTTTCGTTGTCTGCCTTGCTCTTCAAGATCCTCACCTCTCGCCGGCCAATCGTCGGCGCTGAACCTCACCCAAGGCCTTGGTTCCGCTCAAGAAGGCGGCGACACCAACAGCGCCAATCGCAGGCAAGGTCTGGAACAGGTTCCACTGAGTGTAGTAGAGGAAGAAGACACCCTCCATGGCAACGATTGATCCGAAGAAGACGACATGTGAAATGGGAGCATTGCCCAGAGCCTTCTGCACATGAGTAAAGTTTCCGCCAAGAGCAAACCACTATCACAAGTTAGCATAGATACGTTTTATATTATCAAGTTCATGAGGGTTCAAAAAACATACGCCGATAAACAGAGCGGGCACAGTAGCTAGCACGGCGAGTGCGAATGTAATAGAGACGATCTTGGGAGGGTTCTTGGGATCGGCTCGGAAAATGTGATGGATCTCAGCAAGCTTGCCGTATCGCAGTGGCTTCTCGTAACTAGGCGCAGAGGTGGCCGCGTCCAGCTTGACGGTGAAATCGAAAACAGGGGTAACTGAGCCCTTGGAAGAGCCAAAGGAGGCCAGAACAAGGCTGGCTTCGAGGGGCTCTTGAGAGAGAAGCAGTTGGACGGGAAGATCTTTCTGAGACTGCCTTTGGTGTTAGCTATCGCCAGCCAATTGATCTCTTTTTCGCGGGAGTCAGCATACAATTTCGACCGTTCCCTTTCCAGAGTCCTTCACGGTCAACGGGAAAGGAGCCTCCAGACCAGATGCCTCCTTCACGACCAAGAAAGCTTGGTGTGGTCGCTTCGCCGTGGAGCCGTCTTTTGTCGTGAGCGTCACTTTGAGCTTGTCCTGGTGACCCAGAGTAAGGGTGTTCTGCACCCGATCAACGCCGCTGAATCTGTAATTACAATTGTTAGCAAATTGATTTCAAACGCTTGTGTTGTTGGAAAATCAAAGGACTGCATGGCCCAGGAAGAGTAACCAAGCCAAAGCTCAGTCTTGGCGCCAGGGAAGCTCACTTCTCTACCGCATCATTGCCGGCTTTTGAGAGCACTTTGACGGTACCGTCCGAAAAGGTCCATGAGGAAGCAGCAGAGGCGACCGTGGCGAGCGCCAAAAGTGTTGAGGCAACAGAGAATCGCATGGTGACGGACGGCGTTGGTGCGAGGAAGATGCTCCAAGATGACAGCTTAGAACAGCTTTGGTCCTAAAGGTTACGTGGTTGAGTCGCAGGGTGGGGCTCTGATTGGCCGGCTGTCATGTACAACACACGGTGCATGCGACATTATGCACTGTACCAGTCTGACTGTCTCATTGGAGAGTGCGCGGTATCTCATAAACAATGTCTGCGAAGGAATAAAAGTAGATGCTTGTTTTGTGTAAAATCTATCAATATATACACGGCAGTGCTCAGTCAATGCCAGCTTCGCGATAGTTACAAATCTGGCCGCAATAAGTCATATCTTCTGGCTGTGGTCTACAAGCGCTGTGATCAACCAGGCAAATCACATCCGATCATAAAACTTTCCCCCAACGTAGTCATAATTCAGTCTTCTTGCTGGTTTCAGTGGTAGTTTCGCTTCTCTTTTCCTTCGGAGCGGCCTTTGGGAAGTGTCCGGATAAGTCCATCCACTCTGCCGTGAATGCCAGGACGAGCTTTGTCCAATCCGACACAGTCGGCATGTCAAGATGCTCGCCATCATCCGCCATTGTGTGCCACACGTCAGGAAATGGAGTGGGAATCAAGTGGAGGATGTCAACGCCCCTTCTCAGGAAGGGAATGTGGTCGTCTTCAATGCCTCCATAGCCGAACTGATCGGCACGCTTTTGTGCGTCTGGTAGGAACGGACTGCTGGGGTTGGATTCAAGCAGTCCTAGGTCACGCATGCGCTTCTCTAGTACCGCCATGTTATTGTAAGCCCAGTGGGTGGTTAAAAAGTAGGACGGCACGCGAGGGTTAGGCGACCCGAGAAGATCCAAGAGAACAAAGAGGCTGATGGAGTGCAGAGGCGTCCTGAAAGTTGACATGGAAGGGTGAAACTCGGACTCCCACGTCTCGGCCAATGATCTGGGAAGACAATGTTAACAAAGATGATTCAACAACAAAGGGACAAATAGTGTTGGAAGTTCGTACCTTGCGCCGTACAGCGAGTCCGTCTGCGTCCAGCGCACGAAAGCTTCCTCTCCGTCCAGCAACAGGATCTGCACCCCAACACCAGGCTCCAAGTTATCGTCAAGGTCGCCGCTCGCAGCCATGGCATCCCACTTGGACTTCAACGCCCCATCGATGCTCCTCGCAATGTGCATCAGCATCGCGCACGGCGCCGCGCTGTCTATCGCCCCAATGAAATCCTTGGGTTCAATCTTGCTATCGTAATGCGCCACCAGCGTCAGCCTCCCGACTTCTCCCTCCCGATACCCCGGAGGATCGCGACGCAGAATGATGTTTGCGAAAGGTATTTCATTGTTGCCAGTCGCCGGCGTCTTGGAGGTTGAGTTCTGCCATATGAGTTCCCAATCTGGCAGGTTGGCCGTGAAGAAGTCGACAAAGTGCTGCTGCGTCTTCTTCTGCCCTTCGGTGCCGGGCACTCGCGGTATGAGGATCGGAGCTAGGAGCTTTCCGTTGTGAATATCAAAATCGTCGCCGGGAGATGGTAGACCGCGCAGATCGTCGTCGGTCAGGGTCCCTATGCCGAGGGCGGCGCCCACGAGGCCAAGCAGCGGGACCAACACGTTGAAGAGCATCTCTATCGTTTGTCAGGCTCGGTCGGCGAATCTCAGTGGCTCCAGCCTGCAGGGCCAATCTGCGCTCTGCCCTAGTTCAAGAGGCCGGCAGCAACCAAAGAAAAGAAAGGCGACGCCAAACACACAGAGAAGCGTCTAGGACGAGGTTGTCATCGTCTGGCGCAAGACGACATACAAATGTGTTATCGCCAGTCTGGCGTTATGTTGTTATCTTAGCACCAGCCAAAGTACGTGGCCACACTTGCGGGTGCGGAAGCCACCCCGCTAAACCGCATTGCGGAGCCCCCTAGCCCTTGTTATGTCGCTGTTCCTGAGCATCGTTGAGCCGGCAATTCAGGCGTCGGTTAGTCTGCATGCGGCTTAGGGAGTTTTGGGGCTCTCGACTCTGGAATGATATTCGTTGTTGTTGCAGCAACACGGGAATTGAAGTGCCCCCGTGCTGCTTTTGGGCCCGTTACACATTAATATCGTTTTCGCTAGAATGTACATGATGCCCGATATCACTTGAAAGAGTAGTCCAGTATATGTCAATGTAGTTGTAGCAATTACTCTTAAAACATGAGGTTGAATCTATATAGCCCCAGGATTAATAAGGAATACCAGATAAGAATATTACATGTTGCCCATTTTGGCCCGGGAATCTTAAAAGCCAGAGCATGCTCATAGTAAAAGCGTAAAGCACCAAACCAAACGCCAAGTCAGCCATGCCTGTTGCACTCTGGGCTGCTCATATCATATACAAGCACGCATTTCCTTCTCTATGTATATATGCCCCCAAACCATGTCTTCTAGTTAAAATCGTCGTCGAATCGTCTGGTCTCCCCTTCTTCTCCCCTTTTTGTTAACCCGCCAACGGCTGCTGGAATCCTAGCTCCGCATCAAAGTCTCTAACTTCGTTTCATGAGGGCATTACTTGTGTTTAAGGAGCAAAAACATAAGTAGAGAAACTGGAAATGAAAAAGAAAGAATAGAACAGAATAGAAAAATTTCACAAGATCCTCGGGGTGACGATCAGCAACACGCTTTAGTGCAGCTTGGTGGCAGCTCGAGCAGCCATCTTGTTGGCCATCTGCTTCTCCTTGGGAATAGTGAGAGCTTGGATGCCCAGAAAGTTGCAGATGCTGGTGATCACCAAGTAGGCCCAGCGGAAGTAGACCACCACCGAAAAGAGGAAATAGGCCCACATGTAAAACAGTTCCAGTTGGGGGCTAATCTGGGGGAAACCGATTCGAGGAAGGTTCGCAAGAATAGCACCGCCAACCAGAGGAGTCAGCATGACAGTCCAGTACGGGAACGGCTGGCGGGTCAAGTGCGCAAGAATCATCTTAGTCGTCAGTCGTCCGAAAACGAAAGACATGGTGAAGCAAAATAGGACAAGGTGGTTATCCTTCATGAGCGAGCTGTATGGAGAAAACACCCAGGCACCCGTGCAGATGGTGAAGACGGCCATTGGGATCCATTCCATAAACACGGGGAGAACAGGGAGGCCCTTTGCTTGGCGCGCACGGGTAACGTTCAGGACGCAAAAGGGGATGTGGCAGGTAACCAGCAGGAAAATCAGCATGCCAACCCAGATATCCCGGAAAGAGACATCTCCAATGAGGTGAGCCACTCCCTCCAGGTGGTCGCCCCAGATATGTGCCAGAGGCTTCGTGAAAACGTCCGGCCCGTAGATTCCAGAGACGATCATGATACCGCAGGCAATAAGGAGGCCTTCAGTCGGGCCATTGAAGAAGCCAAGATACAGCGTGTGCGTGTGGTACGTCTCCCACGTCGAGAAGAACATGGGGAGGCAAGGGATAAGCGCAGTGAAGATGCCGGAAGGTGACGTGCCCAGCCCCATGGCGGCCGTTTCGAGCAAACTGGCGAGTGTGCAGTTGAGCGAGTCGATGCCGTGGTCGAAGAGCTCGCCCAAGCCGCTCGAGGTTCCGGTTCTTCTGGCCTGTTTTCCGTCGACATTGTCCATCGTCTGGTACATGAAGAGTCCGAATGCAAAGCTAAAGTACAGCCATGACGGTGCCTATACGGAGATTTCCAATCAGTATGTCGACTCTCGAGGTTGCGCATAGCAGATATAAGGCATGGTTGAATGTCGGTGACGTACCGGTCCCACCAAATCGGGCATGTAGATGACCATCAACGCGACGTTGAAGAGGATGAAGAAGAACCCCAGAAGGGTGACCATGTTGGGGGCGAGCCATAGCGGCAATACTTCGACGAAGGCATTCCACTACAATCCATCTCCGTTAGCTACCATTTGCCTCAAGCTTTAGTTGGCATTGAGCCTGCCCGTCGCGAGGAGGGGCAGGGTATCAACAAAGGCCAACTGCAACGTCATGCGGAAACGTGGGGATGATCGGTGAAGCCGTACCCATGGACCCAGGATGTATTTCGATACCGGTGATTTATCGACGCTCGAATATTTGTACGACTTGAGATGGATCAGGGCATCATCCGAGATGCACTCGGCCACAGCCTGCTCTAGCCCACCGAGCCGGGTTAGCCACCAAGTCAACCAACGAAAGTAAAAAACGACTCCCTCCAGATGCCAATCTCGATAGCGCGAGCGACTAGCCACAGCCCAGAACCGAAGCAAGGATCCCTCCCCATATCAAAGACAAGATTATGTACTTACTTGTGTTAGGAGCCATACTACCACCACCTCGTGTTGAGGTAATATCGCCCTGATGCAATGGCAGCGTGTTGCTGGACATCGTAGAGGGGGGGGGAGCCGGGGGCCCGGGGGAAGGAGGTAGGAGCTTCTTTTTAAAAAAAGGACACAAAAGGGCGCCAAGGGGGAACCTCCAGGCGCTCTAGGATTGTCTCTGTGGGAGAACTAGTTGGTTACTCCTTGCTCCCGTGCGTCTATTAGAGTGCGCAAACTTCAGACAGAATTTTTGGTCGGCCAAGTGACCAAGAGTCTGGTTTCGTTGGGAGGCGTGCATGAAAAGCTGCGGTTTGTGGTCCTCGGACCCCTGTAAAGAGCCTCGGAAAATCTGCCCGTGGGCCTCTAAGTCCCCTGAGCTGGAACCGCTACAGCCCCCAAAGAGCTGCTAGAGAGCTTCCACAACCCCCCAACTCAGAGCCTAATGGGGGATCTTTCACGCGGGCCCCACTCTTGGTAATCTAAAGAGATGATAGTCGCCAGCACGTGAAAGCCCGAAATTCGTTGAGGCGCCAAGAAGTCGACTTTGTGCTAATCTCCTCATACATTCAGTTTAGTAGCGGTACCCGCGATGACACTGTGGCTTCTGATAAGTGGAAAGGCACTGTACTTGATGCAATGAATGTCATTGAGTCATTGGTGTTACTGCTAAAGTATAGTGTGACGTTGCCAGCCGGGTCGATGAGCCGGTAGGAAGCGCTACTTTGGCAGTGACAAAATAAGACGTTGAAGCTGCAACGTTTGTTTGACAAGCTGTGAAACAAAGTTCATTCTAAGGGAGTAGCTGCATCCAGCATTCGGCTTTTATTCCCATATCTAATAGTTATGATGATAGAAACTAGAAGAGAGTAATGATAGTAGCAGATACTTGGAGACACCTTGAAGAACCAGTTGCCCAGTAGATAGACAGACGGTGTATTCTCAGGACTCTTCAACCCTACTTGCCTACGTAGTCACTGGGGCGTTGGGTAAAATCACCGGACGAAAAGCAGAAGCGCCTAAATATGTTGGTAGAGTGGGTATGTTGCCTAGTTGGCAAAGCACATATACTAGATAGGATATCTAGAGCGCGCTCGCTTGGACATGTGAAAAGAAGCGAAGACCAAAAGGGCGCATGCGTTCTATTCAACAAGATTCTTCCTTAAACGAAGTAGGGCGATTCTCATACAGCTGCCAGCTCTTGACAAGTTGCAGTCTCGTTTATTTTGTCCACCCAAAGCTTTCCGCCTTGCAGCCGCCATCTCGCCAATATGCACGTTAAACCTTGCACATGATTCTGAGCTGGAGAGCTCGTGATTGGGCGCTTATTCAAGGATCGAGTGCGTCTTGACATTGGATCAAACATCTAGCTCGCCATGATGTCAATCATTTGGCAAAGGTCGCGTGATGTGATTCAGAAACATCATGTGCAAACCATCAAAGAACCACAAAAAGGGCTTCCTAAAGCTGCAGCCGTCATAGGCTAAATGCTTGCCGCCGATATTTTTCCGATCTCGAATGACAAAGAGCATTTGATGTGCTTCGCAAAATGATACGATGACGACGACTCAATGGCAAACAAGGGCTTTGAAAGCAATATATTCATGTCAATGTATCGTATCGAAAAGGCATTCAACAGTATTAAGTAATTCCCGTGACCAAACTTCCGGCAGTACGCATAATGATATTCCAATGTAAGACGCACGCTCCAATGAAACCAGCAAACCAATCAAACATTAGGCGATCTCAATTGAGCAATCTATCACTTGCTCGACCGCATGACTTCTTTTCAGAACCTCCCCATGTTGTTGTTGCAGCAGCTATTATAGCAGAGCAAAGCCGACAAACATGCTTCCGAGAAGAACTGCCAATCCATAGGCCCGCCCAACCTCAACCGCAGGGGCTGCCATTGACTTGCCCTTGCCGCTGCTGCTACCACCTCCGGGAACGCCAGTGAAGATGGTGTCAGGGCCGGCAGTGGTAGAGGTGGCGGCAGGGGTCGTTGTCGTAGCAGTCGAAGTTGAGTTGTAACGCTTAGGATCAGTGGCACCACAAGGGTTATCCTCGGCGCAGTTAGACGCACAAGTGTTGTCCGAGCCACAAGCAGTCCTGCACTGGACCACAAACTCCTGGCAAATGAAAAAGGGCAGTGTCAAGGTGTACTCGGAGATGTTAGGCTGCTTGTTGTCACCACAGAGACAGCCAAAGCTCAATGTATCCTAAAAGAAAATAGTCAGCGCGAGCACATTACACGACTGCTGTTCTATTCATCAACATACAGGGCTGCAGTCGTTGACCAATGTGGGCTTGCTGGTCGTCTGCTGGCAGATGATGGGGCATGTCGACGTCTCAGAACGGCACCAGCTCTCTGTACCATGTTAGCATCTGCGCGCCATACCATGATAGCGAATGGGTATCTCACGTCTTGTGGCCAGAGGAACACTATCAGGGTCGATGTAGTAGCTCTTCGCATTGGCCAACGAGACAAATGCCATCGTGGCGGCGGCAACGGCTGATTTGAAGGACACCATATTGACTGTATAGTACGACGACGGGGAGACGCGTTCGTGAAGATGTGCCAAAGTGATACTATTAGAAACTATCACGCGGGGATATTAGTGATACGATTCGCAAGATACAATTGCCTGATGTGGTTGAACGAAGAGAAAACAGAATCACGGAGACGACAAAGACAAGGCAGCAGACGAGGTCCCAGACCCCGGGAAAAGAAAGGAAGCAGCTCTGTTACTCACATGGTATGGAAACGGCGACCTGCAGGAGAAGTGCGGACCCAAAAGCGAAAGACTGGGAAGGCAAAAGGAGCTCAACAAACGACTCGTTAACGACAGAGATGGCGGCAGCAGCGAGAAAGAAAGGACAGGATCAAGAAGGAGGCATGCCCGGAAGCACTTTTATGAGCTGGCCGGCGGAGGCGACGGAGGTCCGGCCCAGAATCTCTCCAGAAGCCCCAAGTGACCAGGGCGGGTGGGAAGCGAGACCAGGAGGCGAGTCTGTCCACCGGCCCCCCAGCTCAAGCTTTGCCTATCAAACCAATGGACGCACAAACGGGCAGCTTCGGTATCAGGCTAGCTCAGTTCGTGTTCCCTCCACAGCACCGTCTGGGCAGAGCAAACGGGGCCCCCTGTGAGAGGTCTCACATTTTGCACGGGTCGAAGCATCCATACAAGCCAAAATCAGGTGTAGGTTGCAATGTTGGGTTCAATTCTCACAGGCGCTGGCTAGTGGCTAGTACCTGGAGCAATTGGCACTATGGCGCTGCTGCTACTGCAAATCTCGCACTCAAAATTGGCGACTTTGACCCTTGCCGGCCTAGTGCCTCCACCATCTACCCGACTTGTTTATCCAGAGTTCAGTAATAAACGTTCGACCGCGAAAGTCATGAAGCTACAAGTCATCAAAATGCCCGCTAGTGCCCATTAGTAGCGCGCGTTCGCTAGTGGAAAGATCCGAGCTTGCAGTAGCTTCTCCCCCCTTTTGAGCTTCTGGGCGAGCTAGGAAATGAAGCGTCTCTCGCAAAAAAAGGGCACGATAGGAGCCAAGCGCAAGAGGGAAATGCTCGTACAGAGATGGGAGCAAATAGCCAGACGCTCCCTTTACAGGAACATGGGACGTTGTACTGAACAGCACAGTTCTTGACTGGCATTCCGCCGTGCTACCGTCCACTGCCTAATCTTCGCTGCCATGTGCGTCCTCGTGTTGCGTTCCGTCCTTGGTACAGGTTGCATTTGCTGCTTGTCGGGCGGATTCTTTCAAGAAGCCGTCCATGGATCCAACATTACGAGCCCCGGTCATCCAAGCAAGCAGAGGGCACTAGCGGCTCTGGAAGGCAGTTGAGTATCGAACCAGGGTTCTCCGCTTGACGAGAACCAGAACCACCCATCCATTTTGAACCGTATCAGTCTCTGAGCTCTTCGTATTCCGCTGTGCTATGCATGCAGATGGAGACGGGAGCTACAGTCGCACTTATGCAGACACTTGCATCCAGTCGACACACGCAGAGACAGGTGAAAATGCTCCGCGTTCTCCGCACACTACTGAGCGAGTAGCCTCAGAAAGATAGCACCATGTCGTAACAGCATTCCGGGAAGAATGAGTCGCCTGAAAAGTCACATTCGTGGGGAGATCCACCTGCGCAACCGGATTACGATCACCACAGCACTGGCGATGCGAGGGGGCGAATATGGGAGAAAGCGTGCATATCTCACCATACTGCCCCGAGCTTATTGAAGGTTTTTCTCGTCCCTGGTCGCGACAGGGTCAGTGTACAGTTATAACGGAGAGCCCCCTTCGGAGTGGACGAGGTACAAGGGCAATTTCATGACATGTCAGACATGCATCCCGGTACGAGGCTCCATTCCTGCTCCCTACCTAGGTAGGCAGTTGGTTGCTCGGCCTCATTTCTGCACAGACATGCTTCGGATTCGTGGCAAGGGCCCAGCACGGGCTGCTCCGTACCTGTACAGGCGCAATTTTATGGAGAATCTGCCCAGCATCGCGAGAAAGCAAGGCTCAAGCGCAAGTCGGGAGCGAGCACCCGTATGCAGACAGCACTGTTGATGCAGTGTAGCACAAGATAAAGCTCGGGAAAGCAAAGATGCCCACCGTGAGCCTGGAAAGCTTGGCAAGATCTTGAAATCTGGGGCAGAGACAAAATTGGAGGGAGGAGTTTAATCCAACCCAGCGATTCGCGAATGAGAGACGAGAGTCGAGAGCTATGGCTGCGCGATATATGAAGAGGGTCCGGTTTAGAACTGTTATAGTGTGGGGAATCAAGATGGGATATGGCTTTTCCCTTCTACCACATCAGACGACGATCAGTCCAGAGCCAAGTGCTGCTAGTACGAGTATTAGCCAAAATGCTCGTACGGGCACAGTGTCGTTTCGATATCATTACGAGTACTGCGCTTTGCTTTTGTGTGCCAAGGCGGGATACACCGTATCATAGCCAAGACGCATGAATACGACTTACGAAGCGATATGCCGCCGTCAGAATGCCCTCATTAACCGTCGACAGACGGTGAGGCACCACCTCGTAATCTCTCACTAGCGTTAATGAAACGAAGTACTCCTTTTATTACAACGCAAAACCGCTTTGTATCAGCCAAGCAGCTACTCGTACTCGAAAGGTACGACAAGTACTAGTAGCGACTGTTGGCCGAATGATGGTTGTTGGCTACTCTACCAAGGTGTTCCATAATGTGAAGATCTCAGACCGGCACATGAAGAGACAGTGGCGACAGAGCAGCCTTCGAGATGGACTCGATATGCACCTACTAATGCAATTGATGAGAGATATACAGCTAGTGACAGCCAGCGTGGCCAACAACATGCGAGTCCCACAGATATCAAGCCGAACAGAACCGGCGTCTTCGATGTGTCATACCAAACAGCTCCTCGCTCAGCATCGTTTACTCATACATGGCCCAGAAATTCAGTTCAATAGGGCTTGCCCTAATTCCTTTGATTTCAAACAAGAGTACATGCGAATTACAGGTAGCCATGAAGAGTCAGCTTATCATTACTCATACGGCGACACCGAAAGATGCATTAAGGGGATGATCACCACCAAGAAGCACGGATCTAGTCATACCTCCTCCGAACAAGAATCTCGATGGATAACTCGTTTCCTTTCTGACGAGATTCAGAGGCTGTTGGATGATTATACCCACCTCTTCTGGCGAATGGTCAGAGCAGACAATACGACTGGTCTGGTAAAATCGATGGCAAAATGTCAATGCGACTGTCTGCGATATCAGGCATTAACGGCGCGGGAAAAAAAAAAAGAGAGCTAAGTCGTGGGTAGAGTTCCATCGCCACCAGGTCGACTAAGTTAGCCAGGCAAACCGCCGGTAGTCGACAATTCGGTACTACGGAGCATATCCTGAGTTACTCCCACTTGGTGGCAAAGCAACGTTCCCAAGGGATCGGAGAGCTGTAGCTTCTATTTCATGACAGCCCAGGACTCCATCCGATTCTGATAGCAGCATCACCAACATCACTGCCTCCAGCAAGAGGCCTGAGTTTCTGTCGAGGAATCCCCACCTCAGCGAGAGCTTTTGGATATTCCCCCTCTGAGTAATTGTAACAGTGGACCCCTCCTGGCATCGGCGATGCAACTACGTTTACTTCAATGTGTTTAAGGATAGTGACATAAGTTCCACATCATACTGCCGAAGGATGAATAAGGAGTTGAGCACTAGGTAGTTCTGAGAGCCCTCGGCGTTGTGCCTTAATACCTGGTTGACAAAACAACGGAAATTCCAGTCTGGATTCCAAGACTTGGAAGTAGTACGAGTACAATACTCCCTAGACGCATCTGGTCCATGCTTCTACCCACAAGAGTCGTTCCGCAGCTCCTTGAGTCCATCAGTTTGTAAATGCTCCTTACTTGCATGCTCGCCACATGGGCTCCTTGACCATGACGATTCCACATGTTGTTTAATTTCTGTGGAGCTTCCAAACTTGTTACAATAACAACAATAGCAACAATAGCATCTCTGTGCACACGCTTTGATGCTATAATTAGCAACCAGTATTGACTCTTTCATAAAACCCAATTCTCATTGCGAGGGGAGCTCAATGGCTTTATGCTCTACTATTATTCCCGAACAAACCCCACGTTGTGGCAGCTTCTAGCTGCCGTGGGGATAGTTACGCCACTATCGGACTATTTGATGCGACCCGGAGGCCGTGGATGATAACGATAGGCCACAAATCCAAGAGCCGTCCCATTTAGGGATCTTTGTCTCTTACATCTACCAAGACGCAAAGCACTCTCACATTCGTACATCTTAAGCGCAGGCATTGAGTCCACGACAATCCCGGCCCTTCCGATACCAGCGATAATCTTCTTTCGAATCCCGGCCCTTGACAATCCCGCGCGCAATTACAATTTCTACCAAGGGGCCTGAGAATTTTCCTCAGGACAATACGGGGCAGATAACCGATTCCATAGCAAAAGGCAATCTCGATCGATAACCACGCGAGCTCTACGATTCCTTCACATGGCTGAATGGCGCCGGCTGTAGACCAGGACCATGCGCCAGGCGACTTGACGAGCGAGACAGGGTCACAGCCGCTTGCCGAGTCCGGCGCAACAGCATCGCCAAGTCGCATCTTGAGCAGGTTAGATACGCAATTCTCCTCGGCCAACGGCTCTCGCGATCGACGTAGCGATGCCGACGACAACGAAGACGAGGCGCTGCGCAATGCGCTTTCTGCGACGACATCTCCAAGCTCCATCATGTCGCCCCCGCCTTACTGGCCTCATGCCGGTTCGCACCAGCGAACAATCTCCAGCATGTCTGCCGAGTCTATCCTGCCTGTAGGCGCTATAAGGCTATTCGATCGCGACACAAACGACGACGACAGAAACAGCGCGTGTTGGGCGAAGAGCGTGGAGATTACCGATTACATCATCGTCAATGGTAGCAACACAAACATTGGCGCATTCGTCGTGTGGAATGTGCGAGTCGAAACGCTCACTGTAAGTAAATATTCGGTTTCTCTACACGAGCGCCCCGGCGCAAATACGTTGCGTTTGCGCCTGCGCTGGCTGTTGTCGTGTGGATGAGGCATTGGCTAATGGGTGCTTTTTCCGTTTATATAGGGAAGTTTTATGAATATTCGAAAGCGCTACTCCGAGTTCGACGACTTCCGACAGAAGTTGACATTATCATTTCCAAACTTCAAGGCGGCTGTGCCGGAACTACCGCCCAAGAGCGCAATATTCAAGTTCCGACCCAAGTTTCTAGAGAAGCGCCGAGCTGGATTGCAATATTTCTTAAAGTACGAAGCGTCTCTGCCAATTACATGCTTTTGCCGTTGCACGGACTGACACACTTGTTCAGCTGTATACTATTAAACCCGGAGTTTTCGGGGTCACCTGTCCTCAACGACTTTCTGTTTGCCTAATCACGCGGCATGCTTTTATTGAATGTCTCGCCTTGGACACCCTCTTTCTCTTATCTTCGTTTCAACTTCTCTTTATTTTATGTGTGTGTTAAGAAAATGCACATACGGATACCCAAGCAGGTATGATTTGCCGAAACACCAGAGAAGCACCCACGTGCAGCCCCGCGACGACCTTTGGAAACGAAGTCGACGGTTTTCCTCTTTGGGTAACATCTTTCTCATCTATTTTGAGCATGTTCTTTGTCCTTGTATTACTACTACAGCCACAGTTTGAGGCTTATGCGCGTCGAAATGGCCTGACTTGTTATGTCGTGTATGATATTCTAAGTATATATATATATACTATAATGTTAATGAGGAATCTTAAATCAAGCTTGTACGGAGGACAGTACAGCTGTAGCGCATTTTGTGTTGAGTGCATGTTACATCGTAGCACACCACCAGACATCAAACTCCCAACACCCTTGAAGCGAGACGCCCTGAAGTGTGTTCCTTATTTCGATGATTCCAAGCCTGTTCTGATCCTTCGTGGGCCCCCCTTGCGCTTCTACATAGCCGCTAAACGCTGGATACTACTCTGCTCACTTCAGCCGCTTACTGAAATAAACGCGCTGGCTGGGATAAGATGAGATCCGCATGTGAAACTACATAGATTCCATACTTGAACATGCTGGACTAGGTATTCGACTCCGTCTTCTTCAGTTCCGGACCTCGCTGCGCCTGTGCTCCGCTCCGCCCTGCACCGCCTCAAACATGTTCCAATGTTGCTTCATGGCCCCAGCCGACGGCCGCGCTTTGTTTGGCCGAGAGCGTCCCGCTTCCGAGACAAGAAACACGCAGAGGCGGCGCCATCAAAATGATTGGAATCCTGCCCTATGCCCTTCTTGGCTGGCGCAACGGAGTTGGAGATCGACGCCTCGAGATTTCGGAGGATTCCGCATGCATGCGCGGATTTGACAGGACCACGCGACTGGCTGTGTCTCCTTCAATAGTTGTGCAGTCTTCTTAACGTTACGCAATGGCAGTAGAGAACGTGTCCGTGCTAATCTTCCGGGTTGGTTCTCCCATTCTTGCGTGTCTTGGGCCGCAAGACCACAGAGCAAACACAAGAAATAACAGCAGCACATGTCGTTTCTCCAAGTACGGACTTCACCCATGTTTCTGTCCCAGTATTCTGCTGAGACTAAGACAACCTCGAACTTGGTAGAGCCCCACGTCACGTCATCTTACTGCATCACTAAGTGTCAATATTGAGACCAAGTTGATCTGTAATGCCTGTGCTTTAGTTGTGGAATTAATACCGGACTCGTACCGAGCTGCAAGTACTGTTATTCCCAACCTCCCTTGTATGTAGCGCACGCTCCAGACGGTAGTTCAAGCCATGATAATAGCTCGCCCCCAAGTCTCGGAACATCCAGAGGCAGTGCTTCTTGGGCTTGGGCCGCCATGGTTCGTTGACTGGCATCCCGACGCTTTCGGGTCCTTGCGTCACTCCGTCATCAACGAAATGGCACCTATACCCAGTTCAGGGGCCGGGCGATAGGTGGTCAGCCTCCGATCAGACCTGTTACCTTGTCCAGCACGGCTGGAACTGTTTATTGGGTCCGTAGAGGTGGCCACATGTCGCTTTTTTTAGTTCTTATCAGTGTCTTAAGGGCCCGTCTTCCCGCTTTCTGTAGCGCAGCCTGTTTGCCAAGCCAATCTTGCCAAGTGCTATAAAGCCAGCGGCCGACCTTGGAGTTTATCTCCTCACAGCCCGGAGCCCATCCCGGGCAACCCGAATATCGACGACAACCTTCAACTTTCCTTTCAAACTCCGAATCCCTCTAACAACTCAAGTTTTTGATTCGAAAACAGTGACGATAGCTGGTTTTTCTCTTTGTTTCCCAGGCCGCTTATGCGACCCCGCAAGAGTAGTCTCCTACGGGAGGTCCCGGGCGCTGTATTGATGTAATGATATAATAGCCCACTTGGACGGCACCATGACAACCGCTAGCTTCACCTCGAGCTTCACAACCCTCTCTGCCTCTTCGGCAAAATCGCAGCAATACATGGACTCGTTAGTACCGCCGTCTCGAGACCAGTTTGAGCGCATTGCCCATGTGCAGGAGGAGAAGGAGGAGGCGATCAGGCAAAGGTTTAAGCACCAGAAGCGAAAATCGCAACAGGAGAGCAGGCGGAGCTTGCAGTCGAATAGAAGCGATGAGAGGAGCGATGCTGCCCGCGTCATTCAGAAGACGTTTCGGGGTTATCGAGCAAGAAGAGAAATGAGCGGGTTTACACTGGATCCCAGCACGAGATGGATAACTGCTATCCGCGAGGCACAGTTCCGCGAAACTACGCGCCCTCGAGGTCGATCATTCACCGGCATAAGCCAAGATACGCTGTCGTCGCTTGGAGATATGGCCGACTTACACTCATCAACCGCACGATCAAATTGGAAGAAGCTGGGCATGATTGCGCTTCGGGCCGGCCACGATGATGAGGAGGAAGAGTCTGACTCGGACAGCTCAACGGAATCGAGTAGCTTGTCGCCTCGAGAAAAGGAAGAACTGAGGCGACTTCGAGAGGAGGCTAATGCTCAGCGACGATCAACTGCTCTCACACTCGGGCTTCAGTATTGGTTAGAAATCGTGGACCAGAAGCATCGATACGGCACCAACTTACGCATGTATCACGAGGAATGGCGAAAAGCCGACACCAATGAGAACTTCTTCTACTGGCTTGACTATGGAGAGGGGCGATATATATCGCTCGACACATGTCCGCGAGATCAACTGGAGAGGGACCAGGTCCGGTACCTGTCACGAGAGGAGCGCCAGTTCTATCTTGCCACAGTCGATGACGAGGGCCGGCTATGCTGGGCCAAAAACGGCGAGCCCATCGACACGAGTGAGAAGTACAGAGACAGCATGTACGGCATCGTCCCTGTAGACGATCCGACACCACCGTACCGGCCGATTCTGAATCCAAATCCCTATGCCGATTCAGCCAGCGGATTGGCCTCGAACACATCGACTGCTTACGGAGAGTCGAACCCCGAACAGCATCGCGCAGACAAGTATATCAATCCGCCAGCCGAACAGCGCGATGTCAAAAAGGTCAAGCAGTTTTCTGCCACGACGACTCTGAACAAACTTTTGCGCAAGACCGTCAAGGACGGCACGTGGATCTTTGTCGCCGACACAAACTTTAGGCTTTACATAGGCATCAAGCAGGCTGGCGCCTTTCAGCATTCGTCGTTTCTTCAAGGCGCTCGCATATCTGCTGGAGGCCTCATCGGGATCAAGGAGGGCAAACTCAATTTCCTGTCGCCACTGAGCGGGCACTACCGCCCCCCGACGTCGAATTTCCGCGCCTTTGTTCGGAGTCTCAAGGCTGAAGGCGTCGATGTGGGACACGTACCAATTTCAAAGGCGTATGCTGTCCTTTTGGGCTTGGAGACATATACCAAGACGCGGCGTGTGGGCAAAGACCTTGTGCATAAGATGATTCACGGGAAGAACAAGGCGGTTCATCCAAAGCAGATGAAGAGGAAAAAGGAGGAAGAAAAAGACACGAGCAAAAGTGCGCAGCGAGAGAGGGAAGTCGTGGCTGAGGGAAAACGGCAGGCAGAAGCCGAGAAGCAGGCACATGTGGAAGAAGCTGCCATGAAGGCAATGGAAAAGCTGCATATTTTACCCACGGCAGCTGGTCAGGAGTCTCCAAAGAGGACTGTTACATATCTTTAAAGGCAAAGCATGGATCATTTATTCTGGTTGGGCATTTGGTTAGGCATAGGGAGTCCTGATGGACCTGTTCTGTACGTATAAATACCCTGGGACTTGTTTAGGCCAAGTCATTGTTGCTGCATGGAGGAATACATCATCATACCTTAGGTATCTAGAGGAGCGAATTGATATTTTGGACTTTGGAACATTGAGCGTGCGCTTTTCTCTCTACCCGGGATTAGCAGCCCAAAGGCGTCTCTAATGCAGCAACGAAGCAATATTGGAGGGATACAAGCAATTGAATCAAGTCGTATGGATCTGGGTGGATTTCCAGCATATGTTGAATGCTGGGGTTGATGGTTGAGCTATGCATATTTGCAAATAGGTGGATTTCTAATGATTGAAATCCATGGATATTGATGACGGAAATCTTCTACGGAGCACCAAGATCTTGCTTAGATAGCTGGAAGCTTCAGAGGCGCCTCGACGTATAGGAGCGCGCACATTGATGCTAAAGCCGGTGGATCACTACAAGAGCTTCAAGTGCCCTGTAAAGGGGGCTGAGCGCCACTAAACTTAGGGAGCAGTCCGCTATAAAGGCGCCTCCTCACAGGTAGCTCGGGGGTAAGAGCTACTGGGACCACTCGCTAGAACCCCCCAAACTCCATGACGCGCAGGCGCTAGAGCGCCCCCTTCCGCCCAAGAAAAAAAAAAAAACCTGCCCCGGGCGCCAGAGGGAGAAATACAGTTGAGAGTCGTCACGTCGCACGAAACAAATCGGCATCGGTGCATCGAGCAAAAACATCGAGGCAACGCGTGTCCCGACAGCGACAGCGCCCTTTGCAGCGGACCTGAAGAAACATGACTGGCGTGCCCCTGCTTGCCAATGGCCTCCATCACCCGCTCCAACCGGCGAGCTGAGGGCCTTCACCTCTATGACCGTAACGTGAACGCCAGCCCCCTCACGCGCTCGGGGCCTGGGCCAAACTCCTTCCACCACGGCGCTGCGGCGGGCGGTCGCACAAAGCGAGCCCTCGACGTGGCCGAGCGCGAGTTCGAGGCCATCCGGCACAAAAAGACGAGAATCGCCGTCGAGATTCTTGCAAAGCCCCAGCTGCCTCTCGAGACTGTGAATGTACAACCGCCGATACCGCGACGAGCCGCTGTGGCGAGCAGCGCAAGTAGGCAGCCTGTCCCCCCTGTGCAGCCGCAACCCACCAAGCCAGCGGCGCCCATATCCGCAGAACCGGAGCCGCACAACGCCAGCCTGACGAAGCACCAGGCCAAAGT